TAAAACCACTGGTTCAGATTTGAAGTACTAGGACATGTAAATATGTAAATATGTAAAGCTTTGGCTCTCTGTGATGTCTAATCATATGCTGTACTATACTTTCTAATATAGTATAAATATAATCACTATATATAATCACTATATATGTATATATTAAAAAAATAAGTCATATGTTTTCGTGTGATCTGCATAATTACAAATACAAAACAGATCCAAATAGTCCATTGCGTGTTAACTTTGACCCATCATGGGTTCTTTTCATAGTCTAAATGGTCTACATGATATAGGCGTCACAAAATTCAGTGTTAAAATCAAATTTATTTACGACAACCTAGCCTACGTAATTGTATTATTTACGCAATGATATTAACAACTGTGTACATGTATAAATAGATACCTCGATACTAATGCATTAGTGAGCCTTAAACACATTTTAAATGATTTGATTTGAGTTATAAATTATCTAGCTGTCTGACTTTTTTGGAAAATGTCATTTATTTATGATGCATTTATGTGGTACATGTACGGAACTTTGTGAATTTTGTGACGTCATTTTTTAGAAGTTGACTGGCAACAGACTTTTTGGGTTTGATTTTCACGTTATATATATTGTGTGTACCATACTTTACATAAAATAAGCCAGAAACTCCTAATACTATTGTCAAAATGGTCTCCATTGTTAAATTGTTTTAAATTCACGAGATTATACGTACATTTATATCATTTAGGGACCATCTTTTATCAATCCAATTAAGTTTATATAGTTTAGGAGGAGTCTGCACATCATTTTATTAAAATATTAAAACAAATTATATTGTCTGTGATATTTTCTTAAATTCCTAGGTACCATCTTCTTAAGTTTTATCAGAGAACTGGATTTAAAAACATTTTGAAGACATGTTTGTGTCTTGAATCAAATATAAATAGCCATGAGGTACACGGACACGTACTAAACATTCCTTTTTATACGCCCGTCGAATGACGGGACGTATTATGTTTTCACGCGGGCGGACGGGCACACATTAGTTTCCGCTCAATAACTTGAGTAAATTTGAATGGTTTCATTTCAATCTTAATAGGATGGTTCATTGCTATGAAAGCTCGGACAAGTTTGATAACCAAAATTATTTGCCACTTATTTACGGAGTTATGGCCCTTTGTAGAATTGCCGAAACAGTTTCCGCTCAATAACTTGAGTAATTTTGAATGGATTAATTTCAAACTTGGTAGGAAAGTTCATTGCCATGAAAGGTCGGAAAAGCGGCACTTATGGCCCTTTGTTGCAAACTACTCATTTTACATCTGACTGGCCCTTTGTTGCAAACTACTCATTTTACATCTGACGGGCGTATCATGTACCGTTTCGCGGAACTCTTGTTATTGTTTATAATTTACCCATTCATTATTTCTAGATTTTCTTGAAAAATCGGGGCTACTAGTTAGCAAAGTTAGCACCTTATGTCAAAGTTGGAGTCAGACTTTTTGGTTGGTCCTGACGCCATTGCTTATTAAACTCGGCCAAATGTTGTTTGACAATGAATCATTTCCTGCTTTACTTGTCCAAGATATTCTCTGTCCCACCTCGGGTAAATGACAGATGACATGCTGAAAGAAACAACACTATAACGTCACGGGAACAATCAGATATGACGTCTTTATCAGCTCTCGGTGGACGAATTATGTTCAAATCAGGATAACAAATGCTGAAAACTATTGATTTTAAACGTTGCATTGGAAAGATGAGAGAAGACTTATTCTCAGACAACAACATATAAAAAGACGGGAAGTTGGCGGGAAAACCTGATGTCGCATGCTTTATGACGTCAAAATTATTCTGATTCCAACGTGGGCTGAACTTACTCAAGACAGAGACCTAAAGTAATTTAGGTCTCTGCTCCAGACTGCCAGTCTGATCTCAAAGGCAAGTCATCCAATCTTCAAACAGAAAAAGTTGAATATATATTTCTTAATAACCTATTCATTCAACTACAAATTCAAATATGCATGTTCCTATTATATTTGCTTTCTGTATCAAACAGATATCTTAAATCAAAGCTTTCGGCAACAAGCATATATATTTCATATTTTACCCACATTCCACTTCAATATATTTTGATTGATATTCAGTTGACTTATCAGCCCCAAAATCAACCCAAACAATATCATCGACACAGGAATCAGTAGAGACGTGTCCGTCCCATGTTTCGTTATGCAAAATGATACATTCATGTGCATTGAGGACATGTGCATGTAATCATGTAGTATAAATTGAATACTTTGGTCTTTATTCCTCTTTTGTGATACACTAAACAGTACATAAGTATGGGGTATACTGTACATTGTACCTCAATCACTAGCAAAAGATAAATGGTATGCTTTAGCAAATAACGCTACAGCCGAATTTGGATTGCCTGAGAATCTCAATAATAATGTACAACATTTGATAAAGCGCCCTATCTAGCTAACATAAGCCACTCTAAAGCACTTTACAGTTAATAGATATACAATTAATACAATAAGCATATACGTTAATCAATACAATTTTAAGGAATTCGCAGGATCTGCCTTATCAGGCGCTAGTAGTACTAGTACTATGCCACCTGGCTAATATATCCCTATGTGTGTATGCCTGCGTGTGTGCTGGAGATGTAATGTGTTCTGTTTGTAGTGGAACCGTGCTTTCAACGGCATCGTTGATAGTGCCACCTCACTTGAATGCTACATCACAGATACAGCAACATCCTCCCGATACCAAATTATACTCGACCTGGGTTGTTGGAGTTGTGTGGGCAGGAGTAAAACACTTTCTCTGAATATCCATGCTACGACGACTTCGGCCCCCTGCATGGAAGTTAACCACTCGACCAATCCGCCCATATATATATTCTTGTTCTACATGTCCATGCTGTTGTCCTCCCAGACACGTGTAGTACATTGCCATCCTATTACCCATTCGATAAAGCTATGAGAGGTGTTCATGGTCGAAGGTATCGAAAGGCTCCTTTTATAAATTGGAAGGTGAATTTCAACTTATTGATGGATTCTTTCGAAAATTCACCAGGCAATGGGCAAAACGACAGCATGCAGAGATGGATTAACTCTCCGAGTAAGAGCAGCTTGAAAACAAAATACAAATCACTATTACTTGATGCCCAAGCCACACTCAACGATTTGTACGATCAGTATATAATTTAGTCATTAGACAAAGTATTTCATAAAGCGATCCTTTGTTTCCGAATACTGTTATATTTCACCAATGAAACTCTATCAATACATTTTCGAAAGAGGAAATAATACTTAACCATGTTTCTGCAGTAAAACCTGTCCTAAATGCCGAACAATGATAAGGATTCTCAAACTTCTTTTTATCGCTGGCTCTGCTAGTTGTTCAACTAAAGCATTATCCCTACTTCTAAATATAATTATCAGTACCATTAACGCGATATACACAAGAACTGTAATCAATGGAAGGTGGATTTCGAGGAACTTTACATATATTTTGATCAATCTTGAGCACGTTTCCCTCAAAATTGTTTCTTCTGTCCAATAATTGCCTTTCGATTCTATCATATCATACCAAACCGACTGGACGGTCTTTTATTTTAAGGCTTCCTATGGGAACAAACTATGCTCTTCTTCATGACCAACTCGTTTTTGTTATAGTATAGCATAAAGCCTGATATAGGTATACCCATAGTGTTTATCAAAAGGAAGCAATGGTTTCGCTTTGTGCTATTGCCTGGGTTACATGGACTATACAGTCACTAAATAAAATGAAAATAATTTTAACATCGCTTCCATTTAATTCAAATCTTTTCCTATTATTTGCTAATATGTTTGATTACAATACATATCTAGTGAATAGAAACAAATATGCTTTAATTTCATAATCGATATTTCTATTGCAATCTTGGTACATCCAACAAACCTAAACCTTTAAATAATAAAAGGGAATAATGTGTATATCGAACAATAAATTATTCCGAACACAAAATATTAATCAATAATTTCATTTCGGGGGGAAAAAGAAACATTGTGTATAGAACAAAGATGATAACGTTTTCTACAAATTCAAATTGTTTTATTTCCTTAAGTCATCTGACGTCTCGGATACAGTGGATAGGTACAGTGCAACAAAAAATGAAACAACACGAATAGAGAATAGAGAAAATAAGGTGTATAAAGAATAAAAAAAATAAGGTATATATATAGGATAAAGAAAAAATAGTGTATACAGAGTGAAGAAAAATTAGGTGAATATAGGATAAAACACAAATTAAGCGAATTAAGAAAAAAATGTGTATACAGAATGAAGAAAAGTGATAATAGGATAAAGAAAAAATAGTGTATACAGAATGAAGAAATTAAGTGATAATAGGATAAAGAAATTACAGAATAAAGAAAGTAACGTAAATACAGAATGAAGAAAGTAAGGTGAATATATGATAAAGAAAAAATAGTGTATACAGAATGAAGAAAGTTAGGTGATAATAGGATAAAGAAATTACAGAATAAAGAAAATAACGTAAATACAGAATGAAGAAAGTAAGGTGAATATATGATAAAGAGAAAATAGTGTATACAGAATGAAGAAAGTTAGGTGAATATGGATAAAACAAATTAAGTGAATATAAAAAATAAGGTGTAAACAAAAAGAAGAAAATAGGGTGTTTACAAAGTGAAGAAAATAAGTGAATACAGAATAAAAAAATAAGGTGTATACAGAATATGGGAAATAAGGTGGATACAGAATATGGAAAATAAGGTGGATACAGAATATGGAAAATAAGGTGGATACAGGATAAAGAAAATAGAAAATAAAAGGTGCATAAAGAATAAAGAAATTAGGGTGAATGCAGAAAAAAATGAATATAGAATAAAGAAAATATGGTAAATACAGGTTTATATATAGAACGAATGTCATCAGATTATTAAGTCCGTATTACAAAGATACACGATATCATTTTTAAAATAAAATATACACAACTGCACTGTATACGTGTTGCGAAAATATAAATCAAATAGTGTGTTTTTCATATCTTGAACAGGTTTGTGTGTTATGAATAAACTAACCTAAACACGTGTTTTCTAAATTGCTTACAAAGGTTTGTATGTGTCTAAATATCTAAAATAAGTATGTGGATAAATATCTAAAATAAGTATGTGGATAAAAAATATAAATATCTAAAATAAGTATGTGACTTGAAAATCGCGTCTGGATTGAATTAGGTTTATATAATATATGTGTGTGTTGATAATTGCGTTTGATTTGAATTACGATTGTATGATGTATGTGTGTTGAAAATCGCGTCTGGATCGACGCTGGGAAACATTATTCATATCTTTGTTTACTTTCTGTACACATTAAAAATAATATGCACTTATCAAAGACTTTTTGGCTTACCGTTTAAAACAAAGGTAATCAAATAAACAAATTGCATTTGCATTGAGATACTGCGAGCAATGTAAAGAGTGGTAACAAAATGTCAAAATGTCATGGACGCATATTTTACCCTTGTGTTCTATATACGAAAATATTACAGTTTGTATATGAAATTAATGTAATTGAGATCCTCTGCAAATTTTATGCACCTTCCGGGAAACCTTTCTGAAATAGAAATAGAAAATAAAAACATGATACAGAACATAGTGGCTCCCAATCCTTCGTATGATTTCGCTACTGTAAACGTACTACATTTTGTAATTGACAGGTAGTAACATACCAGAAGTTTTAGTTATATTTCGAAAGCACATACTTATTATATTTTTTTTATAGTTTAATTCTGTATCAAATCAGTATGTCCGGACATAACGGACCCTTCGTTTATTACGTTTTTTCCAACATTTTATCCCCCTCGTTATATATACCATATCAACCATACGTACATAAAAAATATGTTGATTGTTCTTAAGTCGTATTTATAATGAAAACAAAACCCAGAAAAACTACTACAAAACCATATATTTCCAGTGAGGAAAAACAAACAGCAATCCTTAGTAACCAATCTATAGACGTATCACAGTCGACAAACATTAGTATGCTTACCTGATGATCCTGGGATGCTAGGATTTAAATTTGAGAACTTTTTTACGACGATTTTGATGTCTGAAAAATACGTTCAATGTTGTTTATTACACATAATGTTTTATAGATGATAAATACGATCTGTAAATATAGTAAAATGTAAAACAAATGGCTTCTCTATATTACACTTGCTGATAACCCCAACGTCATACAGTGGGAACGTTAAATCCGACAACACGCTATATATATCCTATATCCTGACGATAACGTTAAGGTACTGTACACAAGGATCCGTATCGTTTATGTCTAAGGTCACTACCGAATTGGACGTACTAAGAGAATTACACTCAATCCTAGTTATTACAGCAATCAGTAACACAGGGTCCAACTCTCCAGTCATAAATCCAACAGACCAATTTTCCAAGCAACTACTATGCAATCAAACATAATACAGCCACTAATCAAAATGTTCCACCCTCTCAAAACCAAACCAATGGTCTTACTGTCCAGCCACTTTAACCAATGGTCCTACTGTCCTACTGTGAAACCAATAAACCACCAATTGTCCTACTGTCCTACTGTGTAACCAATAAACCACCAATGGTCCTACTGTCCTACTGTGTAACCAATAAACCACCAATGGTCCTACTGTCCTACTCTGAAACTAATAAACAACCAATGGTCCTACAGTCCTACTGTGAAACTAATAAACCACCAATGGTCCTACTGTCCTACTGTGTAACCAATAAACCACCAATGGTCCTACTGTCCAGTCAAGCCCGTAAAGCAATGATCCTACAGTCCTTATGTTAAGCCAATAAACCACCAACGGTCCTACTGTCCAGCCACTAAAATTATCCTACTGTCAAGCAACTAAACCTATGATCCTACTGTCCAGTCACTTAACCAATAGTCCCACTGTCCAGTCACTTAACCAATAGTCCCACTGTCAAACCACTAAACGAATGGCCCCACTGTCCAGCCACTTTAACCAAAGTTCCGCAATCCAGTCACTTATGCTACAGCCTTAAAATCTAGTCACTGGCCAACAGTCTCCCTATCTAGCAACAATCCTTCTATTCATCCACTAAACCAGCAGTACAACTATCCGGCATTAAACCAATGATAAAAGTACTAAACGCCAATGGCCCTGGCCTACTGTTCCGCAACTTTAACAAAAGTTTCACTTATGCAACAGTCCCACTATCAAGTAGCTGAAAAATCAGTCGCCAAACTATCCAGCCATTAAGGCAATAGCCCATGAACCTGACCACTGATCCGACAAACNATGATCCTACTGTCCAGTCACTTAACCAATAGTCCCACTGTCCAGTCACTTAACCAATAGTCCCACTGTCAAACCACTTCTCAGCCCCTGAAGCAATAGTCCCAACATCTAGTCGCTAGTTCGACAGACCCACTTATCAGCCCCTGAAGCAATAGTCTCACCATAAAGTCGCTAATTCGACAACCCATTCCTAGGCCACTGAACCAATAGTCCCAACATCTAGTCGCTAGTTCGACAGACCCACTTATCAGCCCCTGAAGCAATAGTCTCACCATAAAGTCGCTAATTCGAAAGACCCATTCCTCAGCCACTGAACCAATAGTCCCACCATCCAGTCGCTAATTCGACAGTCCCATTCCTCAGCCACTGAACCAATAGTCCCACCATCCAATCGCTAATTCGAAAGACCCATTCCTCAGCCACTGAACCAATAGTCCCACCATCCAGTCGCTAATTCCACAGTCCCATTCCTCAACCACTGAACCAATAGTCCCACCACCTAGTCTTTAATTCGACAACCAATTCCTAGGCCACTGAACCAATAGTCCCACCATCCGATCGCTAATTCGACAGTCCCATTCCTCAGACACTGAACCAATAGTCCCACCACCTATTCGCTAATTCGACAGTCCCATTACTCAGCCACTGAAGAAACAGTCCCTTCACTTAGTCGCTAATTCGACAGACCCACTCCTCAGCCACTAAACCAATATTCCCACCATCCAGTCCCTAATTCGTCAGACCCACTCCTCAGCCACTGAACCAATAGTCCCAGCATTCAATCACTGATTCCCCAGTCCCATCCTTTAGACACTAAATTTGATTATCCCACTACACAACCACTAAAGTAACAATCCTGCTATTCAGCAGCTAGACAAATAGCCCTTCTATCCACCAACTGATCCATCAGTCCAACTCAGGAGTCTTATACCCAGCAAACACTGTCAAGAATATTATCAACAGTCAGGTCAATATCGTTTATTTGAGTGTCAAATACCACAATTACTTTGAAACATTTTTTAAATATACAGTTACATGACATAAAAGCAAAAAATTGCATACTGTAGCAGGGATCAATCATTTTATAAAATATACCGTTAAACAGTTATGGTATGTCATATATTGATAAGTTGATCAAACTTATCACAGATGGCAGTCAAGAGAGCAGGTGATTGGGGCAGCCAATCTATATCTCCATAACTGTTATATACATATGTAAAGTATAGACAACCACGACTGACGTGATGGAAGTAGTAAGGTAATGTTATCGTCCAAAAATGTTGAAACCCACCTGAAGTAACAAATTATTGAGAAGGCCACACATAAGATACACATGAGGATGACGGACACGATCAGACACAACGATAGCACGTCTCCTGTAAGGTGAGCTTTTCTTCCACACGTATCTTCAGTGTCTGCATGATAAATATCATCATCAGCTATAACGTGTACACAATATTTCAGTATTACATAGTATAACACAGTGTAATTTCTTATTTTTTCTTATCTGAATTGAAAATTACAACACAAATGATTGAGAGAGGGAATTTTTGTTGTCAACGTGATAAAAGAAATCTTGTAAACAATATTAAACGACGTTATTACCTATGTAATGGCTATCAATTTGGGGAAGGCATTATTTCTATTTTAATTAAGGGATTACTAAGATTATTTCCGGTTGTGCCGTATCTATGTAAGTGAACTTTTGAATTTTGATTGACAACTTTGCTATATGTTTTATTTAATTGTTTGTTTTTACATTTGGACAAAAAGTCAAAAGTGTACTTGATTTTATATAGGCATGTTAACCAATCAGAAGCGAGCATTGAAATACCAAGCCAGTTGTTCATACGGTCAGCTCATACAGCTTAGAAATGACCGTTAGATAAAGCAAAGTTCAATTATCTATATTTTTTAATCGAAGGTGTATAAGTTGAAAGTAAGTAAGTCCATATCTTTCATGGTTGCCTCATAACCAAGTTCCTCGCTGTTAGGCAACAAAGCAGAAAAAGCATTATAAAAATGGTAGCTGATCTCACATTCAAGTAGATATAACTCTGTGGCTACCTTAATAGTACTTGGAAACTTGACTACATTGGTTAGTTCTGTCCCTATCGAAATTACCAAAGTAATGAAAAAGTAAACAATTGTATTATATGTCTCAAAAAACCCACCTTATTTAATCAAAACAGATACGAAGCATTCCTGTTTTGCTTTGTAAACAATAAAGTTTAGTTAGGGAGCAGTTTTTGTAGAGTTGTCTTAAACTAAAGACTGTTTCTAATTGTTTACGTACCGTGACAGACAAAAAACGATGCACCAATTGTAATAACAAATGAAATAATGTGTGGTATTAGATGGAATATTAATTACTGTAAATATAGGAAAAGGTTTAAGCAATCCATAATAAAGACTCATCGTGTTTAACTTGAGTTGTTTGTCATAACCTGACAAACATGACCATTTCTGAAACAACACATTATTTCTATAAGCAATATCATAGTTAATAACAACAACATAGTGCATACAATTTATTTATCTCCCTGTTAAATGACTCGCTTACCTTTTTTGGCCAGTGTGACGTAGACCGTGTCGGAGAAAGGGCCTGGTTGAACGGAGGAAGAACTGCAGATTTGTACACAGTACATTCCGTCCGATTGTACATCGTTCATTAGGAACAGTGCAGATTGATTTGCAGGTATAGATGTGTTTTGTCCTGGTAGAGATATATTACAAAATGGATAATGAAAAAAAACCTTTCCTACATACAAAAGTACAAAACTACAATATTGGAAACATATGTGATCGCTACTTACCTTTATACGGTTTTTCATCTTTGTTTAATTCTTCATTAACTTTATACCATCTTATTGTATAACTGACGATAATTGGGGCGTTTTCTGAGCATGTCACGTGATTCCACGTCACCATCGCACGAGCGGGATCCTGAGAGCTGACCACGATACCGGAAGGGGGCGGTGGTACTACAATATATTGGGTATAATTAGATAATAAGTCAGTTGTGTCCAAGGGTGCATGTGCACGGTAGTCTTCAGTTACCAAGGGTATATATGCAAAGTGATTTTTTTCCTTCTTCTCTTGTTATAGAAACTTTTAGAATTACTCTTCTGTATTCTCTTCGATTTATTTTTTTGTGTTCATTTAAGGACGTGCCAGGTTTTGGAGGTGGAGGAAAGCCGGAGTTTCCGGAGAAAAAAACAACGACCTTCAGTCAGTACCTGGCAATTGTCCCACGTAGGTCTCAAACCCGCGACCCAGTACATAAACATAACGCGATTCGACATGTTAGCATAACCTGAATAATGCCGAAAAAGCGAATCACATTTCATGAGCATGTGGTACAGTTACACATAAGATTGCAAGAAAAAATATTGAACCAAGATCTGCAAAACATACATAAATAATAAGCAATATGATATGCAAACGAAGATGGAACTGGGTTAGTCACTGGTAAACACCAAACACATTGTGTAATAGTTCTAACCTGGCAGCCAGAGGGGATGAAAAGCATGAAGACCTAAAACAACTTTACTATCTCGGATGAAAAAAGCTGGAATGCAGCAAGTGTGTCTTGCAGAAGCAGATAAACCAAAGGTGTAAAATGTCATATTAATAGACACAGTTATAAAATATTACACAAATGAACCAATGTATGCTATGAAACAGAACTTTATGTAGAACTCTAATTGCTTAATTAACAAATTACCAGCATTTTGTATGTAGAACGCATGGAATATTGATGTACAGATGATATTTAAATTACAGTATGTGCACAATTAAATAATTGTATACCTGCGTTTTTATGATAAACACAGCTGACCAGATCAAAGCCACTTCCGAATTGTCCGAAGTCACTGGACACACCAAATAAGTACTCGGCTTCTTTGTCTTGGACAACCAAAGTAGTTTGACCCTCGTCAAGTTTGTCCACGTCAACAGACACGAGCTCCCTCTAAGCAATGTTCCATTAAACAAGAAAAGGGCTTAATGTCTGTGCTCTGTTATACATATTTACCAGCTTAAGCTCTATTAAACAGTTTGGTATTTCATTCTATGATATCTGCTACAACCAAATAACAAAAATATCTGTTTTAAAAGGACCTGAATACGAAAAGTTGTTTTTGCTCGACATTATTATAAGGACGTCTATTATTCGCATGTTTGTTAACAAAATAAACACAAATATATAAAAGAAAAAAAAAATGTCAAATCAATCTATGAACAATTGCAGGGATTTGTCGCAAATGAATGCCTTCACGTGCACTTATATAAGCACAACCTGTGGTCAATGTTTTCCTTCTCATATATCTCTCAATGTAAATGTCTTCTCTTTCTATCTCTCTCGACATCGATCTCGATCCGATCGATCAAAGAAAAGAGCAGAGAGGAAAAGAGAGGGGGGATTTGAATCTAAATGCAAATCTGCATTAATTGATAATACCTACCTTGCAGTGAGTTTTGTTTTTGCGTTGGCAGTAGTACACTGTGTAACCTGTCAGCCCGACTGCCTGTGAACCAGCCCAAGTCACCTTATAATCACCACCTGCTTCCTCCACACGCACAGTGGAAGGAGAGGTGCCTACAATTATAAAGAATAATATGTATACAAGAATTTTAAAAAGAAATGATGATAATAAAAATACACTTACCATTAGTGTACGTGTACGGTTTAAGTCAATGGTAAGAGTTACCAAACAATACATGTGTTCTTCCACAGATTCAACTCGTCCTCTTTCCCTTTATTAAAAAGTTTCGAAAATTTAACGTGGATAGCACAAGCCCCGTATAGACATGTTTTGACGTTGCATCATTTGCTAACTAACACGATCAACCTTGTCTTTCAGTAAACTTGCCTTCACCTTCAAACTACTTTAAGTATTCCCTTGTGGAGATGTAACAAGACTACCAGAAGGTGTAAGTACCTGCTCTTTTGTATGAGGCCTTCAATTTACCCTTTCATAATTGACTCTTCCAGATCAATGCATGGTAGAGTCTACTAAGGTTACATAGGGGTGAAAGGGTTAAGTTGTTAGATGAACGAAAGATATCCACACTGACACGTGTGATTGAATTTATAGGATTTGGTAATAGATATATTATGTTAAATATGCTATTACATTGCTCTATACAGCTATTCCGTCCTTCTAAGACTTGTCGGTGATGCAAGCGGCCAAAAAGGTGAACATCTAAATTGATCTAAACGTCTATTGAAACAGAAGGCTTACATGAAGTTTTACAGAGTTTGACCTCCTGAGATATATGTTTAATACTAGTCAGTGAGCAAACAATACCTTGTCTGGTAAAGAAGGGAATCCGCAGGTATGACCAAGTCTTTGACAACCCTTTCTCTGTTGCCGCCTGTAGCGTGATGACATAGGTAGCGTTGCACTTCAGTCTCAGTATACCCGACAACGAGGTACCCGGGAAATAGACCTCTGTGTGGTAAGCTGTTACATTGATTTCGTTCTCATTCGCTGTTTTCGCCTCCGAGAACTTCACAGTGTAACGAACGATATCACCACGGGCTTGTTTCCTTTGTATTTTCTGCAGTAGATTGATTAGAATTAACACCAATACGAAAGTTCTCAAACAAACAGTGAAGGTATCTCATTTAGCAGACGACAACCAAATATATACAGTGACGCCATTTTATTTTACATGCGACTATAAAACAATAGGCAATGGTGCAAATTCATCTTCCATACGACTGCCGTATTATGTAAGCAATGCATGTTGTTTTGACCCAGGAGTATATGAAGGTTTCTGGTTGATACGGGGTAGGAAATGGGAAAAGGGATATGGATAACCTTATTAAACACTATACGTTGTAAACAATTTAGTACAATGCCATATTATTATTTAGCTTTGTCACAAAACGACTGTAACTGAGGTGCCATTTTGTCTGAGATGATTTTAGTTAAAAGGATATGGCGATTGCCGAGGAATACGGCGCGTGCATGCGGATATGCGTCAGTTCATGACCTATTAACACCAAGCTGTATAACGCATAAAAAATAACCAAAATATCACGGACAAGAATTCGATTACAACTTATTTCCAACCTAAGTGTATCATATAAAAAAATTAAATCGAAAAGTCAGACTATTGTGAAGATTCAAGTTCAATACCCCACCTTCCAGTATATCGTGACGTCATGATATCCATTTTGGTCAAGCAAACAACTGACGCTAGTTCGATGATACGCCCCCTTGCGGAGAACCGGAGCCGTAAGTGGAACTGTGTGTAAAAGAAAACGTATGCGATACACATTACATTGAAGACTTAGTGTATCATATAAACTATTAATGACACATTTATCGTTGACATGCGGTGTTTTGTTTTAAGTGATGTTTTTAAGGTAATCTTACCATAATCAAAAATGACGTTTTGGGTGCTGGGAAAATATCATAAATTTGTTGAAAAGTTTAGCTTTGAAATTACTACAGGGAACACATTTTGATATAAACAGTAAAATATAGTCGAACAGTTCAGCATGAGTGGAGATTGTTACAGTAACTTAAACCATAGGTATACCAAAGCGACTTCTCCATGTTGACGACGTGCAAGTGTTTCTTGTTTTCATAACTATTAGTTACACAGGGGTTATGACCCATTGTTCTTACCGTCTTGGTCAGTTTTGACCGATATGGTGAAAGGGTCACTGTAGAAGGGAGACTTGACCGCTCTCACGTCCACGGTATACGTATAAAGGGTGTCGGGGTCGAGATCGCAAACCATCAAACCCCCATCACCATCGTCATGGACCAATTCCTGTATTATGAAAGACAATCCAACATAACCTCAACGTTAACACTACAAAATCTATATGATTTTAAATTAAAAAATATGTCTATAAAAAGGGGAAATTCTGATAACGAAAATTTTTAAAAAATAGAGAGGGAAAACATTAAAAAATAAAATTAAAAAAAATGTACAATGATGAATGGCTCGGTGCCAAGCACCATATTGATCTATACGATATAGAACAGGGAAAATAATAATAATAAATTAACAATATCTTTATGAATTGTAATGTCTTATTATCATAATTCTAATTATTAGACAACCAAAGTGAAGAGCCAACTCTGAGTACAAAAAGAAATAATTTTAAATTAACCAGTACTCCTCTAACTTTTAAAATTCATCAATCAGGGAGCTTTTACTCAAGCCCCACTCTGTTTCAACATTAATTAAATCCAATTTGGATTGACCCCTCGCATCACCGATGAGCAGTGTAATTCATTTTTGGCTTACCGTACCTATTACCAAATTTTAAAAGATGCAATCACCTTTATGTGTGTTACGCTCCAGAAAGGTCTGGCTAGGGAAATAAAGCTGAACGTGCTCATATAGGTCGTACGACCAAAACATGTCTTCAATGTCCGGAATAAAATATCTTTCGTTAAGTTTTCCTAGCCCATTTGCATGCGACACATACTGCTGAATCTTGGTAGTAAAACCACCTCTTTTTTTACATCGAAACAGAATGGTAAGCCAATCTGTTTTCGAGCCACACTGTATTCGCTTCCTCTCTCTGTTTTACGATCTTTACAAGAGTACTCTACTAAAACTGCTCCTGATGACATTTGTAAACTAGCTTAGAGACTTGAAAAGTTCATTGGGGAAGTAGTACAAGTTCGACTCTTTAAGTCTGTTCTAGCTGATAGTCAAGACTCTCTGGTAACGCGGAGTTTTATGAAAGTGGAATTTGCCAACAAGGGGATCGATGCCATTAACATCAGTTACATCCTACATCAAAGGTCCGTCCAAGGTAACATACCACCGAAACAAAAGTACACCGTTAACTCCTTACAGTTAATCTTAACCAAGTGATTCCCAACTCTTCAATCACAAGCAATCGGCACAGCTGATTTAAGATGACCTTAGAATAACTCATTCTTCAGCATGTTCTTGCTCCACCTTATTGTATTTGTACAAAACGAATGTGTGGTGTTTATCAGCTTCAAGAGAGGGATCAATTTATAATGAAAGACACGTGACAATAATTGACTTATTTTTAAAGTCATATTGAATCATAGTAAATCAAACATAAACCTGCCCTACGTGGGGGCGGATATCTTGACTACATATTTCCCTACCTCGTGTTGTAAGGCCGAGGACCAGTACCGGACTCGAAACTGTTTCTTTCTCGAGCGACTGATAAAGACGTCATATATCCAGGTCAGCTGAACACACGAGCTGTCGTTTGTATACTTGTAACCAAACCTGTCTACTTTATTAGGTTTCGCTGAAATAAGAAAACATGAAACAATGTGCTCTTATAGTACGCCCATTCGTAACACCTCGGGCGATTCGGTAATCTTTGATGAAAGGAACTGTAATCGGGGCGAGGTGTTCAAAATGACATTGCGCCGTTTGTATACACAAATTGCTGTTCCCATGTACGAACATATTTACCTTTTTACTTAATAAAATATTGCTTGAAAAAGATAAATCGAGAAAGAAATTTAACTGTTACACTTTCTTACAACACAAAAAAAAAATTCGTCATGTGAAAATATGATATACTTAAAATGACGTACCATTTTCGGCCGGGATTTTTGTAATATAAGGACCGATGGCGGACACTTTACGTCTGGTGTTGGTTACATTGACTTTGAAGTACCATTCTGATGTATCCAGGGAGACACCTGATGGATCGAAGGTGCATGACGTCATGTCTACGCTCATATTGGGACACTGGCCGGTCACGCCATTATACCTGCATTAATAGTGCAACATGATAGGTCGTTGAATATCTCATCAATTTGTATCGCGATTCCCTAATGGTAACAGACATCTAGCGGGAAGGGAGGTAAGAAAACAAAACCTGAGAACACCATCATCCTACAATAATACTACTACTATATAAAATGGCTAAAACCAGCACCATGAACCTAGTGGCTTCTTCGCCATGTGTTTCAGGTGAGCAAGATCAATCATTGTCTTTGATACCACATTTCAAGTTATTCTTTTGATCGCTGGAAACTACAATCTACTAAAAGCAAGTACTACAAAAAATGATTAATAAATATCCATTTATGCGGCTTTCAACGGCCTACGAGTACATTCAACAACCAATATCATGCATTTACCGGATGCGACATCACGTCCTACTTATCACACCATATTACATAACACACCAGAGGTCAAAATGGAAAAGTAACAACAAATGCTTAGAAGCTTTGAAATATTACACTCAGAAAGGAGACCATTCGATCTTAAAACGTGAGATTACATAATAGATAATATGCAATAATGATACTGTTGATTCGGAAAGACAAATACGGATCACTCAGGTTGAGAAACCACATGTAACACAGTACAGTGATACGACGTTGTGTATTTGATTACGTATATCGGTGAATCCACGATTACATAGATATGAGCTGATAGTCACAACTGACCACCTATGAACGTACCAATAGATTATAATCGGGTATAAATATAACCTAGAAAGGAGATAAGGGGAGACGAACAAGGGACGGGAGAGAAGGGACTAGAAGTGCTAGGGACGTTTAATACCAACGACAGAGACCGATCCCAACACGTAGATGGTTACTCAAGACAACAGCCAAAGTAGAAAGCAAATGAGTCCAGTTCCCGAGAGCCATCCCTGATACTCCATGGGTTACTTTCACTTTCGCTCTCTACACCCCTGGAATATGTAATGGTAAAATCGAAGGCTCTGTATGCGAACAAAAGGTTTTATTTTACCTTACACCAATCAAATAGCTGGTTGCGTGCCTTCAATTTTGTTATGACATGCACATATCCCAGGGGGTGTAGAGAGCGTCAGTGAGTGTAACTCCTAGATTATCGAGGATATCCGAAAGTTGTCAGGGAGTGTTTTTGTGTACATGCCGAATACGCTTGTTTGAGTTATTGTCAATTTCAGATTTTGACCTATGACGTCATGGCGCATAAAAATATGTCGGGCTAATTTTGCTTATTAACAATGTGTGAATAGCCGTAAACAGAACGAAGATAATACGTTTAGGGGTCATCACCTGTCTAGTTATACCCTGAACACGACAGCTAGGCGTCTCACACTGTCAAATAAGTCTGGCGTGATACAAATGCCAAAGAGACACCAATAATAAGAGTTTATCGTTTGTAAACAAGAGGAATAAAGAAACATATCGTCTGTAGTTTGAATCCAGATTGGTCTGTAGGCGAAGGTTCGACTTCCTTCGTCTCCTATATAGGTACTTGAAACGTTTGTACAGAAAAAGTTCTTCTAGAGGCAGCACTTAATAAAATTAACATTTGTCTATGTCACATTTAATGTCATGTGTGAAATGATATTATTCCTTGTTCTCGTTATACGTTATTTGTTGATAAAGTAAACAATGATTCGAGGTATACCTTCGAAAGTAACCACTGTTTACAGAATGATAACCCTCAACTCACCACTGTAGCTGGACCTCAATATTCCTCATATTGTAGGCGGGAAGTTCCCAGCTACACTTTAGTCCGTCCTTCCAGTTATACCAAATACACTGAAGTTCTGTCACCTCTTGTGGTTCATCTGGAATTCAAATCAAATTTGACTCAGAATTGATCCTATCGCCGGAATGAAACGAATTATTATTGATGGAAACTACACTTTCAAATCAGATACTTTCGTGGGTCCCAAATTTCGTCGTTTTGTTAAAGTTAACACCATTTCGTGGGTACATGAATTCGTGGATTGCTAGTACCTAATAAAGCTGGCAGTATAATAATAGTACAAGAAATACTTTCATGTCAAACCTGTAGTTACTTCGTGGACTTAAGAATTTGTGGATGAAGAGTTCCAATTGAATCGCCGAAATTAAAAACCCACGAACATTAGTGGTTTTACAGTGTTTGGTTTTGATATCATTGAACAGCACAGCAACCAAATAATGTAATACAGAGATAACTAACACATGACTCTCTGATATTGCAAAGGTCAAGTGTAAACATGTGTCTACCTTTTGCTTGAACTTAAACCATTAAAACGTAAAACACAAATACTTGTCAACAGGTTTTATCACTGTGTGCTGGGTTTGATTATATGACAATACCAGATAAATGGCATTCATTTCTTCGATGTCACCAGCAAGGTGAAAAATACACTCAACGTATTGGAAAATACGTGGGTCGTGTTATAAAGAAAACACTAGCTGTAGGAATTCGATATAACTTATTGCATTTTCTTAAAGGTGTTTTGATGGTACGACAATGTTTTGAGCTTTTGTCAAAATCAGTTGATACTTTATCTAGAAAATGTTTAAGAGCATATAATTTATTTATAGAAAAGATAAGATAATATATATATATATAAATATAATGACCGACTAAAAACAACTTGTTTTCACACTTTACAGGGCCCTTCAGATTTGAGCCCCGTAGAGGGTGGAAGCAGCTTGTTTTTTTAAAGTCGGTCGTTAGATGTTTTTTTTGTCTATACTTACTTACTTCACGTGGACATTTGATGTTTTTTTATTATCTATTTAAGACCTATCTCAAGCATTGATAGAAACAACCCGTTGAACGGAGGTGCAACGAGTAATTAGATCCAATCCGTTCACGACACACCATATCTACATGTACTTCACGTTATGCATGAGCGAATGTGTGGCGAGAAAGGAAGAACAAAAGGGCAGAAAATACTTACTTATATATAGTTCTTTTGTCTTTTTGTTGTTGTTTTTGTTTAAAGATATTTTGGACTAAGAGAGAAGGGTGTTATTTTTTTAGACTACAAAGCAGAAAGAGAGAGGTAGTAGTTTGACTTTTAAGATATTCATCTAATGATAGAGAAATTATTGTTGATAAATGAATTACAAGAAATTATAACTATAAACGCGTTAGTAAGCACCTATTTGGAAATTTGACAGTTCGGTGCCTGTAGCCTTACAAAGCAAAAATTGTACGCCCATTTTGCCAGTTCACGAATCAGCTGTGGTACCAAAGATCAAATGATAAATGCAGATCGTGTGCGAAGTGTTCCAAAACGTATGTAGAGGAACAGAAAAATAACGATGCCTATAAAACCAGTTATTAACGATATAGCTTTACTTTTGGCACAGATAAAACGGGTTTTTCACGATAACCGTGCCAGAAATATTCCAGCTGCAAGGTTATGGCCAACCTAGAGGACTGATAGTCCATTTATCATTGTTGATAACCTAATTAAAGGGAGATATTTTTTTCAAATTTTAACGCAAGAACATGTTTTAAAATATGAATGTAAATTGTTCCGATAACGTGAATCTGCGAAAACATAAGTAATTATTTCATTGCCAAGTTTTAATAGACAGGAAGAATGTTTTTATAGGACGTTCCGTTTGTTTGTTTTAATTTGTTAGTTGTGTAAAATGTATAAGCCAGTTACACTAGTTTGATTTTGTATGCTAGTCTTGCTATTAGTAACATAATGTACATTGGTTATGACTTAGTTCCGTTAGTTTAAGTAGTTATAGTGTAGGTGGGTTATNTTTTTTTTTTTTTTTTTTTTTTTTTTTTTTTTTTTCAATAGTTCAAAAAACAGTACGGCAATTTAAATTTTGATTGTATAAGTTTATTGGTATTATTAGCCCTAGCGCCATTAATCTGATTAATCACTTCTGTCCGTTAATTTACTAAAGTAGTTGTGTTTATTATAATGTTAACATTCTCCTGGTTGAATTTATATAGTGCATTAATTTAGATAGTTCCGTTAGTTTAGTTAGATAATCATGTTAGTTTTATTAGTAAGTTACAAAGAGATTTCATTAGTCATTAATTAGATTTAAAACCTGGCACGTCCTTAAATGACCATAGCTGTTAATAGACCGTAAAACACAAACAAATTATTAGTCAGTTCCATTAATTTACCATCACGGTAAGAATAGTAAGTTTGCATAGTTAGTTTTGTTATTTCGTTTAATTCCATTAATTTCTTAAACTAAAATTTAAAATAAGTTCCATCAGTTTACTAAAATAATTAGTTTATTTAGTTTTGTATAGCAATAATTTTCTTTCAAGTGTGACTTACACATTGGTACTTACAGTCAACCTCCAACTGCTGTCCTCCGACAAGTCCCATTACACCACTGATGTCCCTACGGTGGCAATAGTAATTTCCAGCATCGGTTAACTCCGCCACTTTCCGGAATGTCAAGGTTCCATTGTCAACAACCTCGTGGTAGCTCTGATTCACTGGTGTGTGTTCGTGTATGAAGTAGAGCGTGGAAGAGTTACTGTCATCGTTTGGTGATGTCAGGGTACAATTTATTACCAGGGTTTCATTGACGAATACCAAAGGGTCGTCTGGACTAACATCTAATTAACAAATAGAAGAAGTAAATAAAAGATCATGTGATTGCGCAATCAAACATCATGATATTGACCCTTAGGCTGATTAGACTATGGATTTCTTAACCACTGGTGAACGACCTATTTTTCTAGATTTATTAGAAATCCTTTTATCGACAAACCTTATCTCACCTGATTTCTCACGCATTGTTGTACAGATTCATAATTTCTCTGTTGTTATTCAGTGCACCCTTGGTTGTCGTTATTCATTTATGTGTCGCCTTTTAATTGTGATTGTGTCATCAATTGTTTACGATATTTTCCCTTTTATTTATGCCTCCTTAAAATGTTTGTAATTTCGTAAAACTATTCTAATAACTTCTCTGGATTGCGCGAAAATAAATTGTATTTTTTTAATTCCAAATAAAAGTCGTTAGCTTCGAATAAATACATTTTTCCGTTAAACATCGCGAAAATCAGAACGAAAAATATATGTCATGTATTCTTAATCTCACTTTGAAAAAACATGCTAAAAAGAATGGAGATTACGACTAAATAAACAAAACAAAACTAAAGTGTTTTAACATGGCGGTATCTTCTATTCATAGTCATTAGCTGTTACAGTAATGACATCGAAATAAGCAAGATATATTAATGAGCATTATCAAAACAGTTATGTTCATGGCCAAGTGTGCGTAGGAGCGTGCGTGCGTGCTTGCGTCCTCCTTATGTCATCGTTACATCTACGGCCATAAGTAGACGGAATCAAATTTACTTGTACAACAAACAAAATAATACAAACAAAATACCTCTGGGTTGTGTACCGTGCCACAGTGTGATACAATGTATCTGCTGTTTTTCTATTACGTGTTAAGTCACCCGATACGGGTATGTGTTTAAAGCACCTTGTTGTAACATTTATATTAGCACGTTAAAAGTTTATTATAAGGACTGAAAAAATGGTTCCAACAGCATCTTATATTCCATTCTAATTTATATGATCATATGACAAAAATACCCATTTTGAATCTTTTAAAACCCGTTTGATTAATGGCAAAGGTATTGATCACTCTTCGAACTAGAAGGGGAAAAACACGTGAACGTATGCACATTTCACATTATTTTCTCAAAAATCTTTATTACATAACATTTATTAATACTATACGTATCGATTTTTTATATCATGCTTTGACAAACACTTTAGATAAAATCACCGAACCCCTTTCTTTTCATCTTTAAACCGCTTTATATACAATAGTAACAAACACTTTAAATAAATTCACCGAACCCCTTTCTTTTGACACTTCATGTTGAAAGTTACAAATAATAAATATTAAAAACATTGTACAGGTTGTCAAATCGGGAATATTCGTAAGTGCGCCAAGTGGTTTGTTGTTATCGCCTAAGTTCTTTTAAAAACGTTTTGTTACTTGGACTTGATATATATATACGTGACGGATCTCGATAAGAAAGCAGGACACGCTTACTCTTCTGAAACCCTTGGTCTTCCTTTTCTCTTTCAAAGGTCACCATGTAAATCTTTATTTTGTGCAATTCCCCAATAATTTCTTTGATTTTGTTTTTTGAATTAAGCTTTTGTTTACATTTCAGTATTAAAATACAGTCAAATGAGAGGAAACTATAAACTTTTATACCTTGAAAATGTACGACTTCAAACTGTCATAGATGATGTAATATTAAAGGTTATTTCAACTAGAGAGTACCGTAATACATTACAGCGGCAAGGTTGTCAGACTTTGGGAAAGATATGTCAATAGCAATCAGACACCTTGTATCGTTAAATATTTGCTAGAAATACAAGGTAGGAATACCCCATCTAGATTGGACCAACTGTCATAGGAGACACGTCTAAAAGCTAATTAAGTGGTAGGTATCAAATTCGATATTTAAAGTAATTTGCAACACTTACATTAAATAGCGTAGACAGTGTGGAACTCAATTCGTTTCAATTAGTTTATTCTAATTAAGCCTTACTACTTATAAGATACAAAACACAATATAAATACATATTACCAGGTTAAACAGAGTAATGATGTACAGGAGAGTGATAATTGTATATAATCGTATCACACACACACACACACACACACACACACACACACA